GGATGAAGGTTGGCAAAAAACAAAAAATGCCAGAAATCTCAGCCAAACGTTCGAAACCACATAGATTAAACGCAGAAAGGGTATACCTTCAAGTTCCGCGAAAGAGTAAGACCATGGTATGAAAAAGTAACTCGAAGCATGAAAGGGTTCATAAGATTCGGACGTTTTGCAGAGGTGATTGACCTACGTGGTCCCATTTAGACGTCTTTAGCAACTAAACAAGCTTTTAGAAGTAGGAAAGCAGAATGGGTGAAGATCTGTGATCTGGGTTTGAGATCAGGTAATTAAAAAAACAGAACTAAACTTAAATATAACACAAGCAAAAACGTTCAGATCTCTCGATTCATCAACATCAGGTGATCATTTTATAAAACATTTTGGAATCAGAAGGAATGGGGAATATAATAAAGAAATGTCTCTTTCTGAACGACTAGTAGCTCAGTCTTTTGTCAACTGCAAGGAATTTGCCTCAGGCTGATCTATTGATTGAGAACCTCATTAGCGCTCGCGCGGGAGGTTACGGCTTCATTTGAAATGTCGCCTTGGTCCCATCTCCCCGTTCTCATAAACAATTGCTTTTTATCCATTAAAAATTTGGTTTATATTGCATTCCAACCATGGTGTAGTTAATTACCTACCTCAAATATTTACCAGAAATGAAAATTAACACCTCTTCCCGTTAAATGAACTGTCCAAAGCGAAATCATTGCCTTCCAACTATTGCCCCCATGTCTTAAACTTTTCTCTACCCGAGTTGGGTAGTTTTGTCACCGTTTTTGATGTAATTCTCATGCTATGTGCAACTATCACAAATATCGCTTTTACTATGCGCTAACTAGAAATCTTCCATAGTTTTTGTCTTTATTAATGGATCGTAACTAATCTAATCTATTTTTATAAATCTATCAATCTATAAATACTGAGTAGTAACATTGATCCAGTTTTAAACAACTATAGTCTCGGTTATTGTGTTCTTTTGCGCTCTTTTACGTTCTAAATATTTCATGAACTCCTCTAGCGAAATTTGTTCCAAATCTGAATTTCTGATATAGCTATCGGTGGACATTGGATCAGAGCGTATGTTGATTGCAAGAATTCTCGAGAATATTCCTCACGATCCCATTCAGTAAGCTCTACCAAGTTAGTNTTTTTATGGAACATTGATCCCATACTAAGTAGTAACATTGATCCAGTTTTAAACAGCTATAGTCTCGGTTATTGTGTTCTTTTTACGCTCTTTTACGTTCTAAATATTTCATGAACTCCTCTAGCGAAATTTG